GCTGTCCCCTGTCCCCGGCGGTGGCACGGGGCGGGGTGCGCGGTGGCAGCAGGTGGCACTGTCGCCTCAGCCACAGCCCGGTGCCTTCCCGGGCCGGGGACCCCCGGCTGCTCCGGGGATCGCGGGGACATTGGGGGGACGGCGCCGGTGACAGCGAGGTCACAGCAGGGACCGCCTCCCTGCATCCCGCGGCTGCTCCCGGGGAAATCGGGACCCTTGGATCAAACCCGGGGATGGAGCCGGTCCCTGTCCCTTCCCTGGAGCAGTGACACCGCCAGAGGAGGGACCGTCCCTTCCCTGTGTCCTGGAACCCAAACTGGATCCTCTGGGGCCGCAAACCCTCTTGATCCTTCGTGCCCCTCTCCCAGACCGCCCCATCCTCCGCAGTAAAAAATCCGGAGTAAAAATGACCCCGGGGCTGAGGAAAACCGGCTGGGAACGGTTCCCTGGATTTGCCGGTGCCTGTGGCCGTGTCTGGCGGCTCGATCTGTCACTGTCCCCGCCGGGAGGGTCGGGATTGTCCCCGCCGGGATTGTCCCCGCCGGAGAAGGGAAGGGTCGGGATTGTCCCCGCCGGGCAGGGTCACCCGTCTGGGCAGCTCCTCGGGGAGGCTCCGTCTGCGTGTCTGGCTGCGGCACAACCCCCGGCCTTAGCAACCGGCCCCGGCGGCGCCTTCCCCCGGGAATGCGATAAATGAGCCGTCAGGAGCGGCCCCGCCTCTCGGCGGGATGGGACGGGATGGGATTTGGGATGGGGATGGGATCAATGGGATGGGATGGCATGGCATGGCATGGCACGGACGAGCCCCTCCGCATCCCAACCCGGCGGGGACCGCGCCCTCCCGGCCGCTTCCCTCCCTTGTCTGGGGCAGTGCCCGAAATTCCTGCCGGCCCCGGGCTGCCCTTTGGATTCCCTGCTTGCAAAACGGGAGTTTCCACCTCGGGGGTTGTTTTCCCCTCAAATTCCCCACATCCCCAGCGAGCAGTGCCGGGAAGCAGCAGGAGGAGGAGGAGGAGGCTGCCTGGATTAGCTCAGTTAACACCGGGCCGGGGCTGCAGCCTCCTCCCGCCGCAGCGAGAGGGAATTAAGGCCATTACAAGGCCATCAAATAGGATCAGCGCCCCGCTCCTTTCTCCGCGCAGCCCGGCCCTGCTAATCCTGTTTCACGCAGCTGCCCCAGCACTCCCCGCGTGTCACAGCGCGGCCCGGGGCGGGGAGGGACCCAGGGAGGGACCCCAGGGAGGGACCCCAGGGAGGGACCCCAGCGAGGGACCCCAGCGAGGGACCCAGCGAGGGACCCCAGCGAGGGACCCAGCGAGGGACCCCAGCGAGGGACCCCAGCGAGGGACCCCGGCCCGGGTCCCCCTGCAGCCACCGCCACTGTCACCGGCCCGGAGTCCCCAGTGACAGGGACGGGCACCCACTGCCATCACTCGAGGTCTCCTGAAGCTGTCACACCGTGGGACCTGCTCAGGCTGGGCTTGGGGAACACCAAGGGCAGCTTTGGGGTGACAATGACTCTGGAGTCACTTCTTTATTCTGCAGCAGCCACCCCCGAGGCTGCCGGGCCTGAGGAGTCACACGGAGCACACAGGGATCGGTGCCAAGGGGCACAGACCCTACAAAAACCCCTCAGCCTGAGCGGGCAAAGAGAACTCCCCAAAGTCTGCGCTGGCAAGGCCGGGTGCCACTCCTGGGGGTCCCCAGCGTGTCCCCAGCCCCTCCGGGAGAGGCAGCACTGCGGTGTCCCCACCAGGGGCACAATGGGTGACAGCAGGCACGGCGGTGACAGCCCCGGCCACAGCCCGTCCCGGTGGCACAAACGTCCCCAGCGGGGGGGCACAGCCAGCGTGGCCAGGCCCTGAGCACATCCCAGCACATCCCAGCACRTCCCAGTCCCTCCCAGTCAGGAGGCACCCAGGTACTGGTGGAAGTAGAGGCCGAAGAGGCTGGTGACGACCTGGCAGGCAGCCACCCACCAGGTGAGGAAGGAGAAGAGTCCTCGCAAGAGGGGCGGCGTGAAGATGCAGCCCAGGAGCCCCGAGATCTCCTGCACCGCCGCGGGCACGTCCTCGTCACTGTCACTGTCACCGCTGGGGCGCGGCGGGGCCACCGTGACTGCCGGGGACACGGGCGGGGACACCGGGTACAGCCCCCAGGAGTGGTGACCTGCGGGACACACAGGGGACAGCTCTGGGGGACACAGAGGGGACAGCTCTGGGGGACCCCATGGACACAGGGACAGCCCTGGAGGACACAGGGACAGCTCTGGGGGTCCCCATCCCAACCCCCTGACCCAACTCCCGCCATTCTTTAGAGTCCTGTCCCTGTCCCTGAGCTCGGAGCTGCCCCTCAGGAGGAAGCTCTGACACCTGCAGGGGACACTTTGGGTGACAGTGGCTTCACGATGCCCCCCAGGCTCTCCCAGCCCCCC